CCAGTTGGAGAAAGATGCTAATGCTATGCAAATTAACCTTATGGATCTTTAATTTGATCAACGCCGGCTTCCTGAGAACTTTTGAGGAATTCTAAATTGGATTTTCAATCCAATTTTATTTTATTTCATGCATATAGCCCCACTTCACAACTGTTTGATTGAGTCAATTTATATTGCAAGGTAAAGAGCTTACATTAAAGAGAAAATCTCAGTTAGCAGCACTTTGTGAAAGTGGTAAAGAACTCCCTAACAAGAAGACACTTCTCCCTGAACCAACCTGAGCCTATAGCAGCATAAGCAAGCAATGGTTCAGGGTCACCTGATCCTGTACTAATTATTGATGATTAAAAAATCAAAAAGGAAAGTTTTAACATGGGTTACTGGTTTCCCAAACTGGGAAGTGGTTCCACAGGAGAGGCTCCCATAGACCATGTAATGGGGTCTGATTATTCAAAGCTCTGTACATGAGAAGATGGGTTCTGAGCACACAAACAACAAATAAACAAAGAACAAGCTTAGATAGGGATATTTATTTAAAGACGCCAGTTGTTACAGAAACAGTCATTTTTATCAGTAAGTTGTTTGTGGCCTTTATGTTTCCTGTTAGAACAGTAAAACCTGTGCTGTCTTGTAACATCACTAAGCTCGAGAACTGGTTTAAAATAATTATATATCAATGGAGAAATCATATTTGATTGGCCTTGTGTGCCACTACAAGCATCATGCAAAATTGTGAATCACCCCTGATGAAATAAATTGGGGCAGATGAACAGTTTCAGTATTATCTCACGGTAAATAAACATGGCTGCATGATGCCACACAGCACTATCCCCAGCCCAATGATTCTGTCCTCTCAGCGAGACAGACCATTTTTTTGTTTTTCGTCTAGTTTTGTTTTTTTTCTGTTTGGATCATACACCCTGTTATTCACATCACTTCAACCACTGACTCTGAGCGAACAATGCCGAGACGAGTCTGACAGAGAAGTGGCCGTGCATCAATGTACTGACAGATAAAACTAAAAGAAAGAGAAGAAAAGAAAAGTCATCAGAGAAGAAGAAGGAAACATCTGAAGGCATTGCACATTTCCAAGACTAATCAATTGACATTTTTAAGGCAAAAATGTTTTCTTAAATATTCTGAAGTAACGCACAAAGATGTCACAGTACAATTTTTCCTTTAACCTCACAGGTGCATGTCTGATAGAAAAGAAAAAAAAAGTTGCACACATGCAGTTTTAATCCATGCTATAAAAAACATCAGGATAAAACAGGATATTCATCACAAGCATTCAGTTAAACCACTTTATCAAGATAATTTACAGCAAACAGAGTTCATGTTATTTGTGCAGATCACATGGGCGTTCATGTGGCCTGGCATGCTGACATGCTGCTGCTTTAGCAGAGTGACGTGGATGCGGCGATGAGCAGTGGGAGGCAGCGAGGTGTAAGCCTACTTCATTAAAGCTGGTTTGTTTACCAGCAGTGATTTTTTTTCCTGTCCTACACAATAAATGCTTTTGATTGTTACTCCTACACTGACACAGCCTCACAGAATCAGTGATTTCTGAAGTCTTCTTCTTGAGGGCAAACCTATGTATCCCAAAGAAACGATCTACATAATCTCACATGGGATAGTGTTAAAGTCATTTAGTTGTAGAATGTGATATTTTATTCTTGAGGACTTATGGAATTAATGGAATTTCTTGAGTTTAAGACACTGTTGAATGCTCACCTACGTACGATGCATAAAACATTTTTGTCAGTAAAAACAAAACAAAAAAGAAAAATCAACTAACCACTCTGTAGTTTGAAAACTTTAGAGTTTCTTCCCATATTGAAGCAAGAGTGAGAGCAGCACTGTAATCTGGAACTGCTGCTATTTAAGAATTCTATACATCCTGTCACACCCATTGACTAAGAGTTCATTTTAAATGGTACCTATTATACTTTTACAAAGGTGGAAATAATACGTAAATGTGCAAATAACCCGTATGAGCTCAGCTCTTATCCATAACATAACCAGCTATGCAGCTCTGGCTTTGAAAAGGTTCAGCGCGACTGTTGTTCAAAACTTGTTTTTGTGAGGTGCAGCCAGTTAGTAGAAAAATGTGTTAGAGGCATAGTTAAGTGTGCTAAAAACAAAAAAAAGGTTTCTTTCTGACGGAGGATAAACAAGGTTTTTAGCTGTGACTTCGAAGCTGCTTTCACACAAAGAAAAATCCTACTTTAAAAGAGTCCAAGATTAAAATATGGACTTAATAAAACAGGTTCCCCTCTAACTGAAACTATACAAACTATATAAACTTCATATATTTATGGCCCTTTTATAAGATTGTGTAATGAAAGAGAAGTCAAGTTACATTTACTTTTCACTAAAATCAGAGGCTGATTGTTAGGGACAAACAAACAAAAAAAGCACTACACCTCCCATAGTTATCATTGTATATTGTGCTGTACGAGACCAGAAAGCTCAATGGGCGCACAGAGGACAAGGGTCAGAGCATAGCAAATGGTAATAACTATAAACAGATATCTACATATGAATATGCTGAATTAACAGGCAAGAGATGAGGCATTTGGTCATTTTTCTCCCATTTGTTTAATTAGTGAAAATGTCAACCATGCTTCCCATGCTAACACTTTTAGTAGGAACCTGAGCCATTTTTAAATGATCTCTAGCTCTGCCAGTTGGGCATTTCTGAGGATTTCTGCACTGATACTAAAAGAAAATAAATTGGTAAAATTATTCTCTATCATGTGCAGATTTTTAATAAGATCCAGATTTAGATTTTTTAAGAGTTGCCCACAAATTCTTGAAAAATAAAACAAAACACAAGCTGCATTTCAAAACAGAAACAAGAAGAAGGAGGAAGAGAAGGAAACCCTTAATCTTTATACAACCCTCACTGTTATGTAAGTGTCATGCATGTTTCATACACAAATACATGTACTGCATGTACAGTATATACGAGAGAGTGGGTGTGAGATGAAGCTCACATTTTGTCTTGATAAATAAATAAAAAGGCCATGCCTTGTGTTTCAGGAAGAGAGTCACAGAGTGCCGGCAGTTTGCTGCAAGTCAACTCTCCAGAAAACGTACGCACAATATATACAGATTATACTGTATATTTACATGTACTTATAAAAAGACTGTTCCTGCCTGATCTGGTCTTATCTGGTTCAGGCTGACGTTGCTCCAGTCTTGAAACTAGTGCTACATTTTGCAATTCAACATCCCGACTGTTGTACGGGGTCCCCGCCATCCCGTCACCTCTCCCCTCCACGTGGAGGGACCCTATTCAGTCAAACCGAATAAGCGTTTTTTTCCTGGGATGAGATGCTACACTTAACAGTATTTCAGATTTGGCAGAAAAACGTTGCTACGGAGTGGATTTGATCATTAGCTTTTAAATGTCTTGCACACATTAAACACGCATCACTATCTAACAGTTTGCTTATAAAAAATACAGGCCTGTCGTTCATAATTTAAATATGAATAACCTACGTATAAACATTGATAAGGCCTGTTAGTCATGATTTAAATATGATTACAGGCCTTGGTATAAAATGTCATACTTAAATGAGCAGAAAGAAGCAGCATTACACATACATTATACTGACCAATACACAAAAAGGCAGAAATTTTGTACAGTGTAGAAACGTCTAAGAAACTGAATTTACAAGCAGTTCATAACATATTACATAACAGACATATTCATTAAGCATCACCAGCCAAGAAGTATATCGTTATTTTGAGGTGTGAGTTTAGAAAAAAGTGTTGTAAACCTTCTTTTATATTTATTCCTTGACTAAATACGGCCCTACCACACACACAAACTCTACACTACACGTCTCAAAAGTATAAAGAAAAAAATGCTTTTCTTTGGACATTTACATGGATTAAAAGGGACCTCTGGACAAGGTGGTTGATGCTTGTCTAATAGGACATGGTTTGTGCTTTGCTTTCTTATACCCATTAACGGGAAGGCCGAAACGTATCTGAAAGTGACAGTGCAATAACCTGAAAACTAAGCTTGATTCATATAGGCTTTAGCAATTCTGTAGCTTATTTCTTTAGAAAGGAGAGCAGCTGTGGTTAGCTTGGATTCACAGCAGTTGCAACAGATTGCAACAGTTACCTACTTGTTTGTCCCCCCGTGACCGTGACAACGACAAGTGGAAGAGAATTGCTGAACAGATGGACGGACGGACGGCTGGACGGATCTACTATTAGGTAGAACATTTTTTTTAAAGTCTGTCAGAATCAAACAAGTGCAGTTACTATTGAGAGATATGGTAAATGGCCTGTATTTGTATAGCGCTTTACTTGGTCCTAAGGACCCCAAAGCGCTTTACACTATACACAATCATCCACCCATTCACACACTGGTGATGACAAGCTACATTGTAGCCACAGCCACCCTGGGGCGCACTGACAGAAGCGAGGCTGCCGGACACTGGCGCCACCGGGCCCTCTGACCACCACCAGTAGGCAACGGGTGAAGTGTCTTGTCCAAGGACACAACGACCGAGACTGTCCGAGCCGGGGCTCGAACCGGCAACCTTCCGATTACAAGATGAATTACAAGACGAACACCCAACTCTTGAGCCACGATCGCCCCAATATATAGAACACTTGCTGTATCTAAGCCAATGGTATAGTTGGATTTTTTAAGTACATCAGACATTATTATTAATATTATTATTATTGCTACAACAGCCAATTGCTTTTTGGGCATTTATTTACCAATAGAGACAAATTCTATATCCTTTTTTTTTTCCTGACGACGGTAACTGAAGACTGATGAGAGGTGGAATATATTTTAGTGTGACGTATCAAAGACACTATTTCACAGCACAGAGGGGTCCAAAATGTATAAACAGGGTAAGGGGGTCACTTTCTTGTAGTGTCAATGTCTTTCTATGCAGCTAAGGTGGCTACAGCTAATATGGAGTCCAGCAAGCCAAAGAAGCAAATTAAATTCCTTCCAATTTTAAGCTAACTTTTATTAGATGCCATGCTGACTGTTCTTGCTAACAATAAGTATAACAAAGAAGAAAATTTATGTAACTTATTAGCAGCCATGTTGAAAAAGAGAGAGTGTTAATTGAAACCACTGCTGTGAATCTAAGCAAAGAGCAGCTGCTGTCACCTTTAAAGCCTTCAGGATGCGAGTATTTGATGATGAAACATGGGTTTTCTGTGGAGTCTGAATTTAAGGAGATATATGAAACTTTAGGACTTTTAGTTACAATACTGATGCACAAACATGGACCCAAACACTGTTGTTACAGTCATTACTTTGATCCATGCAGACAGTTGTTAAAAGAAAAGCAATCTGCACTTTTACCTGTTTTCAAATTCAATTTCATATCAAAAGTGTGTTGCTACCACAAAGGTGTGAGCCATCTAATCTGATAGCAACCAAAATGCTATACTTCCCAACGTACAGTTTGGCAAACATGATGTATACGTGGTGAGAAAGGTAAAACTGTGTGACGGACCACAGACTTGCCAAATATCACTTACAACACTTGCTGTTTTTTTTAACAATATTTTTTGGCAATACTGAACAATGTGAGAGGTAGAGAAATGTAAACCAAAACCAGAAATGCTTCTGAAGTACAGTGTTGTTTCATGAAAATAACAAGACTCTGAAATGTAACAACACAGTCAGGTTCGGTAGTGAAATGTGTGTTTTTGACTTCTGGGCTTGGAGAAATCCACGTTTCCATAACCCATTTTGCCAGTAATGTTTTCTGACTAAAAAGTAAGGCTGGTTCAAGTCCCTGTTGCATTTGATTTGACCAGACTCCCAAGGAGCACAGCTTCCTTTCGAGTCAAGGCAGGTGGATGGAGCAGACGATAGGAGCGTGGAACGATTTCCGGTGGGTTTGTTCATGATGGAACATGGCAGTGGTGGTGGGGCAGTGTGTGGTAGGGACAAAGCCCTGAGTGCAGGACAACAGTGCATGCTTTATTTTTCATAAACTGGCACATGCTCTATTTCTATTAAAGAAAAAATCATATATATATATATAAGTGTGTGTGGCACTGGGGCCTAAACATTTTTGTACAAAGTCAGAATCTCCTGTTTCTGTAGCTGAAAAATAGGACTCTGAAAGGTATTCACATTTATTTGTATAAATTTCGTCCTGGAAAATAAAAGATCCACTCCACTCCTCAGTTTTGTAAACATTTATATATCAAGTGACATGACTTAGAGGAAGTGGAAATGGGAACAGCTTGGATTCAGTCTGTCGAGTTTCTTTCCCGTTTACTCTTCCTGGTGCAGCTCCTTGATTTCAGACCACCACCACTGCCCTTCAAAATCCACACCTTTTTGTCCAGTCTTCTAAACTGAAGAAGCACTCAGGGCTGTCTTCATCACCCTTCACGGCCAAATATTCCCAAAAGTGCAACATGCGAGATGCAGGAAAAGTTTGCCATGTGCTTAGGAGCTTCCAGTGAAGAGTGAAGCGTAAAGAGAGGACAGTAGACCCGGCTGGCCAATACTGGGGTGGAAGCCATTAAATTCGGCTTACCCTTCTTGTGAGAAGGGGGTTGATAGCTGGTGGTGGACAGGGAGTGTAAGGAGGTGGCAAGGGACCAGGTTTGATCCCCCGGGTTCTCATGTAGGACAGGAACTGGTCGGGAATTTCAGCCAGCACTTCTTTAGCCAGACGGGCCATGCTGAGGATGTGATTTCCTCGTCGGTCAATGTAGTCTCTGAAAGGAACAAACTGAGAGGGGAAGCAAGAGGAAAGGACACAAGGAAAGGAGAGAACAGGAAATAAAGAAATCAGATATAAGTAATGTAAAGAGAAATAAGAGGCGGAGAGTACAGAATAGGAAACATGGACATTGAGAATAAGAGAATAGTAAAGAAAATGACAAAGATGAAAAGATAAGACAAATGAAGACAAAGAGGAGAGGAGAGTATTGAGAGTGGAGAGATATTTTGCTGCTATTGTTAATAATCATCATCATTACCATTGCATTAATAATATGCATTATAATTTACAGTATTGATATTGCATACAGATGTTTAAACATCTTGGTACCCAATTAGCCTTTATTACAGGTGCAGTTATAACCACTTTAAACTGTTGGGTTGAATCTATAATCTTAAATGCTTTTGAATGCTTGTTATAATCTTAAGTGTGTATGTGCTGATTCTGTTGATTTTGAGTACACTTTGTACAGAGTCAGAGTGACAGGAAACTGCAGGCTTGCAGAGCGTTTGCAGAAATGAAACCGAAAGCAGAATCTAACTGCAGGTTATTCTGAGGAGCTGGTTAGACGAGGCTATGTGAATAACTAGGGTATTCAAATTGTCTGTTATACTTTTATATTCTTTTATTAAGTTTTTAGTAGAGGTTCTTGGTTAAAACATTTATTCAATTTATATTACATCTATAGTTTTAGTAAAAGGTTGACAGTGGCCTCTGTATGACTGTGAGCGTTAGTAGGTGAGAGGTGACACAGAGTGCCACGTAAGGTCGTGAGATATCATGTTTGCTTGTAATTGTGGGCTTGCAGAAGCGCTCGCTCACTGCAAAATCATTGTCTGCGGTTTTGAAGAAGCGCTAATCAGAAAGGTTGACAGGAAACATCTGTTATGAAGATGAAGACAATGTTCTTTTAAACTGTGTTAAAAGTCATTGTGGTTTTGATGTGTATGTATGAAATGTATCTGTGACGTATGAAGGGGCGTCATTAATTCAAACCCTGATGCTATAAAAATCTGTGTATGCTTTGATTAAGTTGAAGATCAATCCCTGTCTGCGTACAGAGTGGTCTTCCCACGCGTGTATTCATTAAAATCAATTGTTTGACCAAGCTCTTGTTGGACCATGGTGGTTTTTGGCTTCCTCAATATTTGAACCTTAACAAGAGGAAACAAAGAAAAGGTGAATATAGGAAATGAGATGTGGACAAAAAACAGAAAACGCTTATGCAAAATTATGAAAAAGAAAGCAAAAGAGAGGAAAACAGAGAGAAAAATATTGCATGTAGAGGAAGAAATAAGGGTCGAGACAGCGGAGAGAAGACAGAAAAACCAGCAGACTCAGAACAAGAGCACAGTAGAAGGTCAAGCACAATGACCCTTTCCCATTAATCATAAATCCCACACTTTCTGCTGAGTGAACAGCCTTCCAGCCAGTCAGCCGTGTCTTCGGGAGTATTCTGTACCTGAACAATGTCCCTCTCCGCGTATCGTCCTTGGGATGAGATCCTCTCTTCGTCCCCATCCAGCTCAATCATTTCTGAGGAGGGAAGCGCATCAGTAACACCCCGTCAGGAGGCTTGAACAGCCACGTCAACGTTGCGGTGAGCAAACATGACACACGGTTTTTGTGTTTCAACCTGCCAACGTCATTAGCATGCCACAGGCTTACACTTAGAGTGTTGATAGTCTCAAATGGGAAGGAGTACACAGAATTTGCACGGCTGAGCGTGAAGCCACGGGGCCGTGAGTTACACGTAGCTGTGCGCATAAGAGGAACGTGCCCGAATACATGTAAGCACAGCCAGCAATGAGCACCACAGGGACATAAAGCGAATGCGCACTCTGACTTCATATGCGTGCTAATCCCGTTGACTCTGCAGGCTCATTGCTCCCCGTGAGTGAGCTTGTTTTTCTTTTCTTTTTTTAACAGAGGACTGCTCTGTGAACTGTAAACACCAATGTTTCAGGGAGGAAACACAGCAGAGTGATGTGGCCCTTGCGCATTTAAAATAAAGAAGAAGAAGAATGGAAAAAAAAGGAGTGCTGCTGGACTGAAAAGCGAGAATTTATCAAATCCCCTTTACCTCGGCTTCTGTGAAGGAGGAGAGGGAGAATTAAGGGGAGGGTAAGCGGAGGAGTGAAGAAAAGAAAAGCTGCACGAGGAAGGGCTAAACCATGTGGGAGACAAGATAGGAAGCAGAACGAGGGGTGAGGGCAAAAGATTACTGCATGCTTTTAAACACACACGTATTTGCACACGGACACACATTCAGCCTGCTTACCATCGAATTCCGCTGGTCCAACCCCAACTATTATAATAGACATGGGCAGAGACGAGGCCTGTAAAGGGTGGAAAGTGACAGAATAACCACATCAAAGGCGGCGAAGAAGCAGCGTTCATTCTTTTCACCATTTGCTATCTTAAACCGTGCAGGCTGCCAGTGAAATAGGCCTGCAAATTACCAACTATACATTAACTGTTACAGTCCAAGGAAAGGAAGCTCTATAGAAAAAATTAAATACCATTGTTAAGGCAGACGGGGCCTTACGTCCTTACTCTGCAGCCGGTTTTATAAAGCCCCTCGCCTGGCGAGATCTACGGTTTCTAATTTCATGCATCTGCAACCTAAATCTCTCGAAGCTTGACAGCTTAATAATGACTCCCATTTACATCTTCCTCTGCCCTGAGCTCCAGCTGAACTCCCGGCCTGCATAGCAATATTGTTTATTAAATCTTAGTTGAGTGGGACAGCAAAGTACAGTTGGATTGATGAAGGATGAATGAAGCTTTTTCAGTGTTTCATAACTTCCCGGGTTATTAGACGGACGCCCAAATTGCTTGAGATATGAAGGGCATGGATCCTCCACGGGCTAGTAAATAATTACTCTCAAATCTCACTTTACAATAACATTACATCACACGGGGGGCAAAGTGGAAAAAGAAGCAGGAGAGCGGATGCGCGTTGAGGCCGTGCGGAGCATTAAGCCCAAGCAGCCGAGGCTCCAAATATATGAGCTCGCCCAAAATCGTTACACACATTAACTCTGATCACTCTAATTAGAAAGCAGAGTTATTAGAGCTGAACATAGCAGTGTTGGGGGGGGGGGACGTGGTGGTGACCAGACTGACCCTCTCTTCCATTACTTCCCTCATTAGTAAAGATGAGAGACAAAGAGAGGGAAGAGGCAAAGATAGCAGCTGCACTGCTTTTCGCCCTCTCGCTTTCATATTAGATGTTTGTTAGTTTATTAGGCCTCTATTGGGGTTTTAATCATACCTTCAGGGTTCCTTGCAAGTTCTACAGTAAATTAACTGAACAATTATAAGCACACATTTCACGGACTGCTACAGTAGATCACGTTTAGTAACCCACTGTGTGCTTACCAGTTTAAATAAGTTGAAAAACATTTTAAAATATACATAGACCAGAGGTTAAATGTGAAGTGCTACTGTACATTTACTATGGACTCCTTGGTCTGCGCCATGTCTGTGATCACGCCATCAGAGATGATGAGCAGGATGAAGTACTGTGAGCCGTCTGTCACTGCCGAGGCATACCTGGTGCGCAAAGAAATGATGTGTCAGAGGTCAGGCGATCAAAAAATGACAAAAAACTGCCCCAAAAAGCAACTTCTGGGTGGAAAAATGAAGTGAAAGTCAAAGCGCCACAAACTACAGTTCCTATAATTTCCACATGAGGTCGTCTCCAAAAGCTCCTCTGTTAAAGTCACCAAGTTGAAACCATGATGTTTGAATCGTGTCACCCTTTATAACAACTGCATGTAACTGCATTTACTTTTTAGTACCATATGAATCCTAGTAGGCCTGAAAGTTAGGGGCATGGCCATTTTAACAGGTATGCCAACACAGAGTCTAGTTAATACTATCCCAGCCTCACCTCTGTTAATTGTAGCCACTAAACTGGAGACTCATAAATGGCTTGCTATGTCCTGCTTCAGTTTCGGAGAATAAACCTATACAGTTTATGGACAATGCTTCTTACATAACCAAGCTAACTAGCATAAGCTAATAACATAGCATTTCACCATGGTAAATGGTAAATGGCCTGTATTTGTATAGCACTTTACTAGTCCCTAAGGACCCCAAAGCGCTTTACACATCCAGTCATCCATCCATCCACACACACATTCAAACACTGGCGATGGCAAGCTACATCGTAGCACTGACAGAGGCGAGGCTGCCGGCATGGCATCCTAACTGTAACTGCAAGATGCAAAATGCACTTCCATCATTAACAAACTTGATTTCTTTATTTTTAATCCTGTTGGTATTTCATTAGCATTTTTTTCATCTGAAGCTGATTAAAGTTTTAATATGTACTGCACTTACCAGTTTATGTGTCAGAGGGAGCAAGTTTATGGAAGATCCAATTTTATGAGAGCACAATATTAACTTGCTGGAGCAGCCCTTTAAAATCCCCCTGTCTCAAGCCCCACACATTGCCCTCAGCAATCACCTTATTAGATAAAATCTCATATGAGGTTATTATCCCTCAGAGATCAATAAAATTATAATCTTATTTTATGGAAGACAACTGGACCAATTACAGCTGCGTGTAGTTGCCAGGCCCAAAAAATTACGTAAAAAATGAAATAGGCATATTTGAAGGGCATGGCTACACTAATTAGTTTGAGGTTTGGGGTATTTAACACACAAAGCGCACAAAAACTGGTTTTCATTCAAGTATTTCACACCTATTCTCAATGAAAGCCAGACTTTTTTCCAACGTTTTTTGTAATCACAACATTTCTAAATATTACATTTCAATGAAAAGTATTTATTAAACTTTTATTAACACATTCACAAACAGTGATAATATATATTAAAGAACACACATTTATACCTGTATTTAATTACATACTAAGGAGGAGTAATGCTTTATAAATGATTAAGTAAACACTAATGCCTTACTAATGCTTATTAGTATGGGATTATTATAGCGTATAACATGTTACTTGCAGCATTAAAAGTTAATATAGAAACCCAATTAATATACAAAGATAAATACTTTGAAATATAGTTTCATGCAGAACAAGTTTATTACATTGACTTCATAACAGTTAAAAAATACTGTTAAACATGATGGATTCAGCCAATGCCTGCAGAGGTTTTCGTTATATGAACCAAAACTTTTGAAGTGATGTGCCATGGCATTTTGAGACCATATATTAAACAACACTCTTAGGTGAAAACAGTCAAGCAATTAGTGATTTGACGTGACATGATGCCACTGTTTCTAAGTGCCATCTTCCTGGATTTCAGTCAGATGCTCCACACAAGTGAGGAGTGAACAATGCATCTATTCTCAGGCTGAGTGGGCGGACGACGCTCGCAGAGATGGGATTTGAAAGCCGATGATGAAAGGGGGGGGGAAAAGTGCTTGTTACAGTCAATCTTGAGGATCATGAGACAAGATCTGGCAATAGGGGATGTCAGGTGGGAGTTGGAAGACACAGAACTAGGAAACAGCACGTAACTTTCTATCGGTGATTTTTTGTGTGAATTGAGTAAGTGCAGCTGACAGCTTCTTTCAGTATCTGCTAAAGGTATTACTTGTTTTAAATATTTGAAACCTTTAGAAGAGCATATTTGCTGATCCAGTGAAAAGTCAACTTGGTATGTCTCATGCTGATCTGGTTTCGAACTCTTTAACACTGAAGCACTGGAGCATAGGGAATTTTCTATTTATGGCTCTTGGGATGGCCAGAAAGGGATTTATCTATTGTATATCTGTGAAGCGGTAGGAGGTGTGACATTTACTGTTATTCACAGCAGTGGCGCCAGCAATCATAATCCTGTGTGCACTGAGCTTATAAATGTTATTTTAAAACTATGTTCAAAAGAACAGTTTAAGAACTTTAAGTCTAATCTTTGGATTCAGTAAATGATTCAATCGATGGCTTTTTGGAAAAAGAAAGGAAACTACTCTATACGATAATTATAGTTATACATTAAAAGATTTATCGGGCGATTAAAATTTGAAAAAAATAAATTAAATTCAAGCTTTTCTGTAAATTTCAATCATTCTGAATACTAATCAAAAACTTTATATGCTCAAATATTTGTCTTTATATGACTTTACAGTAAGAGCGTGAATGTTTTTCTTCATTTTTTGTATCTTTACCAAATTACAGATCCTGATTCATTTTGATGGTGGCAATGACCAATAACATATTCGGGCTTTTATCTTTGATAGTCTGACGCAGATTTCAATGTGCAAAAGAATAGCCGTGAAGAGGGTTGATGAACCATTTTTCAAAAAGATATATCCAGAAAAGTATTAGAACCTAAAATTTTTACAGCACTCATTATATATGTTTTAACATCTGAGTAGCAATAGTAGTAGTGGTATGCCCGTGTTTATTTCAGAATGATGGAATGAGCCGACCATCATGAAATTAGAAGTGATGCTGAGCCTTGTATAGACTTTTGACAACATGGAGATGCAGAATGAACTTCGAAGTTGATTTCAATTATTTTTTATTTTATCATCTGGCTTTTTGATTGTATAATGTAGCAGCTTGGTTTGGTGTTATTACTACATATAGCTGATACTTTCTGTATTGCTGCTAAATAAGGGAATCCTGCTTAATGCCAACTGTTTGTATACTATGAAAACACTGAGTCACACTGCCATTTCTTCAGAGGTGCATCTCAGCTGTTTTCTCTTTTTTCTTCAAATCTCATTAGCTCCTATTCTTGCTCCTCAAGCCAGTCTATCAGCCACTGTGCAGGCTAGAAGCAGACTTCTGCTGAAAGCACTGTGATGACCACTTTGCATGTTCAAACCACCACAGCAGGTACATATTGATTCCTCTCAGGTGATTTATCCCCATCTTTTCCCTCCACTTAAAGCTGTAACTTCACCAAGGCTGATTAATCTTTTAGGAATCTTTCCTGCTGAGCTGCACAATTCTTGGTGACATGGTGCTTAATGACATTAACGCGTGTCAGACCACATGTTTCACATCCCTCGGTGTATTTATAATGGACGTACCTGGCCACATGGTTAATAACAGGGGAGAAGTGGGTGGGTCCATAAAGACGTACACTCTTGAGACTCTGGTAATAGGCCTCCATCACACCCTCAATACCAGTGCAGTATGGGTTCTGTGGATTACCATTCTGCACAAAAACACAAAGATGTGAATGAGTTAACAATAAGACATTCAGATATTTCATCTGCACAAAAGGCCCTTGGAAGATTTTAGAGTCACTAATAAAAAACTCAAATATGCAGTCCAAGTCATCTTGTCACAGCAAAAAAGAGCCTTAAATTTCTACTTAACATATTTAAGACAGTTGGCAGTGCAGTGGATAGTGCTACTGTGTCACAGCAAGAAGATTTAGGTTTGAACCTGCCTGGGGACTGTCTGCAGGGTTTGCATGTTCTCTTTGTGGGTGCTCTCCAGATGCTCCCGTATCCTCCCACAGTCCAAAGACAGACACGTGAGGTTAATTTGTGATTCTAAATTGTGGATGAACAGGTTTCTCTCTCTCTCTCTGTATTAGCTTTCTTGCCTGACAGCAACCTGAACAGTGTGTCTCGCCTCTATGTCAATGTCAATTTTGTGTTATCCCTGTAACGCAAAGTCTACTGTTTTTGATACAGGAGTCTGGGAGTTTTTGAGACCTCTAAACCATTAGATTTTTTCCCCCTGAAAACCTAAATAAATAAATTGCAAAAAATGCCAAATGTAGCAAAAATGATACCAATTAAAACTCAGCAGGTTCTCTAAATTCTCACTTTCAGACAGTTCTTTCTACACTTAGCTCTCGATGATGTCAAAAAGTAGATTTTCTTAACATGTTAATCAAAGTAACACAACTCTGGCTGTAAGCCCCATCCACCTGATGTTCAGACCTCCTTTGTAAGACAGGAAGTCATTCAGAAAAGCATTAAAGAAGGAAGGGATCTTAAGGAACTGCACTAAGGATCAAGAGTAGGAGGATAAAAACAAAAAGAGATGCAATTAAACGGACGATTTGTAAACCTGCGTTTACAGTAACATCAAATGTTAAAAGCCCAAAATTAATTACAGATTATATTGACATATATTTCGTTGATATGTGTTGATATGTTCACAGCACCATAGGCTAAACGTTTACACATCCTGTCACCTTCACTGATTTGATCTCAGTGTTTATTCAAAGGCACTCAGTGTCTCGATTGTAGCATGTATCTAACATCAGGCATTAAACTAAATGAAATTATATTGCAAAGTGTTTTGATATTTGAAGACACTTCCTTATTGCTAAAAGGAATAATAAAAACATCACCATGCTGCAGGGAAACAAAATATAAAGTTGTATTAAATTTGATCTCCCTGGACTGGGACAGAGTTATAATTAATTATCATAACGAACATGTTCGGATGCAAAGTGTCAAACAACAGGATTCCCTGTTAGCATATTGAGAGACGTGAAAAGTGGTCACCCCGGGGCCAAAACATCGATAATACTCCAATATTAACACCAAGTGTAAAAGATCTTTTAAGGATGCAGAATCTCAGCTAGACTTATAAATTACATAGTTTAAGGAAGGCTTTAATCCTTCTTTTGCATCAGTTCGGTAAATGGTATCCTCAGGCAAGTTGGAGCTGCAGTGTTAGTTATAAAAAGATCAAACATGATGATAATTTGTATTAGACTCTGACATAAGCCCATCCTCTGGCTTCTTCCTCTGTGTCTCCCACATCTGTAATATTAAAATATTAAATCTGTGCCTGGTTGACTGCTTTTGGAGGCCCAAAAGAAAGTCGCAAAAAAGGAAACAATGCATTATTTAAACTACCCATATGTTTTAGGCTTTCAATTATCTGAGTAAGAAACCATCCTCACTAACTCTGCTTGGCTACCCATGAGTACGAACAGTGCACATGAGACTCCATTGTTTTGTAAATGGAGCTTGCATAATTAACGTCAGATTCAGTGGTGGCCTTCTCCCACTGTGGCTACACAGCTGTAGCCTTCCTCTTTAAGAGCTGACTCAGTCAGATCCTCAATCGTTAAATTAATGCATGTGTGCCTTTAGGGAGTAGCCGATGCTGAGCAGCTGTAATGGCTGTAAATGCCTCTGGAGCAACATCTGGAGGTGAGAGTCGACCAAGAAGAGATTATGTGCGGCTTGAGTAATGGTCAGGATGTCTACAGCCCTAGAGCACTTGACACTGGCAGAGTGGTAGAGACAAATGGATGAGTGGAATAAGGAGAGATGAACAGTCAAAAGCACAACTATTTCTACTCAATATGAACAATGTGGGATCTCAATCCTAAGTTTAAAGCTACAGTAGGTCAAATCTTCACTGCTGCATGTCAGTAGAATGCCCCTACCCATTTGAGTGCATTACCTTGTTGTCAGCCCACTGTATACCTCAGCTGTCAATGCTGGGTGAGAAGCGTATTTACTCGGGAAAAGGCTGTAAAACTTTGTGGAAGGAGTCAGATACAGATCAATGAGTCTGAGAAGCTCACCTCTGTCCGATTACAGCAAAGCTAAAATGAGTTGCTGAGAACATGCTGAGGTTTTCTGTCAGTAAGATGCTCATATGCTGTGAGAATGTAATCAAACTCTTTATCAGAGGGAAAGTATGATTTTTAGGACACTTGACTATAACATTAGCGAGAGCAATGTTAGCTTACAACCAGCTGTTGTTGTTTAGTCAGCTCTTTTTTAGCTGTTCAGGTCACATGTCTAATCTGCTGACAATATCGTGGAATAAACTTATGCACGCTGTTAGAGCCCTGACTTCAGTTTAGGAGATGAGGCTTGATGTGAGGAGGAAGAGGATACTATATTTTTTAGATACCACTGGCATTTTCTTATTTTTTGCAATTTAATTTCTTTAGTGAGAGGGACTCCTTCTCCAAAGGTAACACAGAGCTATGATACTCTGAAGGTGCAGGCACAAATTGAAATGTCAGCACGCAAACTCCCACAGCCTCTCTTCTCCTCTGCCTTGTTTTGTTTATGGAGCCATTTTATAGCCACGTACATAAAACACAATTAGTCAGAAACTAGAAGTTCTTCCTGCCGACTGTATTTATACACGGTGGAGGGATATGGCAGCTTCCACAAAGTACAAACCTGCTCCAATCTATTTTAATGAATTAATCATAGGTTTATGAGAAGGTACCAATTTCCTAGACACAATTACACACAAATCGATGTAAATTTATCAGAATCCTTTAAAAAAATAAATCTCAAAAAATTACCTTCAGCGACTACAATACAAATGAAAGGGTCTGGGAAAAAAGTGCAAAAGTTACATCCATCAATTCCAGACTTGAACCTTTCCCAGCTGACACTGACAGATCATCAGTCCATCGCAGTGCTAACACAGAGGCAGACACCCAGACATGCACAACTGCAGCCAATAAGGAATCATCGCTGAACCTAACTGGAGGAGATTCATGAGGTAATTCATGAACCAAGAACCAACCAGTGCCAGTCACTGCATCACAGTTACAGTTCAAAAAAGTCTTAACGTTACCAAATTTCATAATGTTGATGGTATAAAACTAAAAATGGTCCTTAGAAGCTGACTGTCACGGTTCTGGGTCATGTTGACCCAGATTTCGGTTTCTCGTATTTTGGTGTTTTTCTAGATTATGATTTATGTTCTGATTGATCAGTGATACTGTTTTGATTATGATTATTATTTAGTAGGTTTTGGTCAGTGTCAAGTCTGTCTCTGTCTAGTCCGTGTCTTAGTAAAGTGTGTTTTGTTTCCTGTTTTACTTTGAAGGTTCTTGTTCCTGTCTGATGTCAGTGTTCCAGCTTTGCTCTCCCTGTCTCGTTAGGTCTTATTCCTCCCAGCTGTGTTCCCCTTCTGTCTCTAATTCCTTGATGACTCCCTCAGTGTATTTAAGCCCAGTGTGTCTTTGTGTCAGTGTCGCGTCGTTAACGCCTACGCACCCTCACGTTAACCCTGCCTGCCTAGTTTATGTCTGTATTCCCAGTTTAGTTAACTTTATGTTCCTTTTCTGCCCAGCAATAAAGCTGAGTGTTTTGAGTTTACATCTGCCTCCGAGTCCTGCATTTTGGGTCCTTCCTCCCTGCCTGCCTTCACACAGCCATGACACTAACTAGACATAGTGCAAATTAACTGATTTACTGTCTTTGGTTTAATAAAATAAAATGCAGCCTACAATCTGCCCATTTTCAACAGATAAAGATTGATACAAAGAAATTAAACTACAGTTAAAATACTTTGTCACTCTTGTATGACTAACAGTGGCCTTATACAAATAATAAAAAAAATAAACTTGGCATGTTATCACACCTAAAAACAAACTCACTTGGCTCTTTAGGCTTCTATCTCCACAGTGCGCAGGCAGTTTGGATGCTGTGTACACGTTTTTGGACAGCAGCACTGACCACCCACCAATATATTTGTTCACTGTAACACCAAGTATGTAAGAGAGTGCCTGTTTGAAAGTGTTTTTTGTTGGATTTTCGAAAAGTTTTCTTTTTTAACTTGCATGCAGTATTACGTTATGTTTTAGATGTCGCTTTAGTTTTCTTGTGGTCAGTGTGACTGACAGACTCCTCCAGCTGGCACCAAAGATATGAAAAGATTTGCTTTCGCAGCCGTATTCAACAGCAGTTTGAGGACAGGCCAAATCTTTTATTCTGCCAGTTCTAATGATGTTCATCAAATCAGCACTGAATTTCACAAGACCCGTCACAAAGCAAGGCTTTATTTCCTTTGGTCAAAAACATTGTTTGGTTGGAATCTCACATAACACAAGATTTAATTATCAGATGAATTGTGGCTTTGTGAAGGACTGAAAACATCTCCAGCGTATGCCTCACTTCTTGCCCAGTGTCAGATCCAACAGACTACAAAAATGACATGATTTCCAGAGGATGAAACCACGCTCTTTGACGGTTCCTCACCTTGTCAGGTCAAGTTTCTTAGTAACTGATTATCATATAATTCACAGATGGACTGGCACTAATATTAAAGACACTGTTGCTTCCCATGCAATTTAATTTATCCTGTACTTTGATGTATTACCAAATAGCAAACATAAAAGTATATTTGTGTTAAGTGCTAATTAAGAAATGCTAGCATACTAGCACGTTACACTGTGAGGACCAAAGCAGATGCTAACATTTAGCATGACACATGTTAACTTTAGCTCAAACCGAGGCCATGTCTATGCACAGCTTTAAAGAGTTGGTAATAGAGGCTTAGATCCTTGCTTCACTTTATTATTTAAAGTTTCATTACTGCCTAAAGAAAGATTTTGCAGTGTTAAGACTAAAACCTTAAAACGTTACTCAAATGGAACTTGGAATCCAATAATTTCCCGTGTCAATTATTAAGCAAACAAGAAGTAAACAATATACTGTCAGTCAACCCTTCATCATTTTTCAACATCTTACGTGGAAGAAACAACATAACGTTTGCATGTTTAATCCAGGTTTAGACTGTATGTGCCTAAACATAATACAGAAGAAAAAATGGAGCAAAGCTTTTTTTTCATGTATGTATCTGGACAAATGGATGGCTGGATATGAAGAAAAAAACGATGTCCTCACCAGGGCAAACTCATGTGAGACCCGTCCATCTGGGGGAAGCTTGGCACCAAAACCCAGCGCGGGAAACATCTTGTCGCTGTCGTAGTCCTGGATGATCTCACCGACAGCCCGCAGTGCCATGGCATAGTCATTTAGCTGGTAAGGGCTCATGTAATGGAGTGAGGTGGGCTGGGATGGGTTGCCTGGGACCCGAATGGTTCAACAAAATAAAACACACATCAGCATCACACTGTAATTATGCCTGCTCCCCCTGGGCTGTGAGTCATATTGAAATAAAAAGGAGGAGAGAAGGTGAAAGGGGTTAAATTGCAGACAGACATTTCTGCAAGGCACAGCTGCACTGGAGGAAGAAACAATCTCAATGGCTGCCTCACACCTCAGTGGGTCATACAATTTCCCCAAATATTGCAGGATAGATAGGCAACATGAAACGTACTGTAGTCATTTTAAACTTACAAGATATTGAGCCGATCCTTCAGAGCTTTATTCCAATTTGCACAAACTAATGAAATAAGCAAAAACTGACAATATTCTTGTGTATAAATTTCAAAAGCCACTCCTGACAATTAAATAATCAAACCCAATAATGGCAAAACTGGTGTTAAATAAAGCCCATCGTAAATTGTGTCCTATTTATTTAAGAATAGCTACATGAAAGAAAAGTTAATATAACGACGAGAGCAAAGACCAAAAATCATGTGTTATTTGATTTTTGTTACAATGTGAACATCAAAACCAAAAATATTTACATTTTCTCAAATTAGCTCGTAACTTATGGACCCTGTCAGGCAGTTTGGATTCATTTATTTACCACATAGATCTATTTTTAAATAGTTCAGTAATTAACTCTTAAACTATTGGCTCTTTCAACCTGAAGCAAACATTACTGAATTTAATCGTAAGCAGTTACAAAACTGTAAGGCTAAAATGAAAAACCTTAGGCTCTATGGACTGGGTAGAATTTAACAGCCTTGAGAACAGATCACAGATATTATAAAAGAAGCAACAGCACTCAGGATGAGGATAAAGACAGTGGCCTTTCCCACCTGCACATGAAGACTCAATTAGCGGGCAAAACAGGAAACATGAGAGCCAATCGTGAAACATGAGAGCCAATATACTTTTACGTTTGCAAATGTAAAAGTATATTTGTATTAAGTGCTAATTAAGAAATGTTAGCATACTAGCACGTTACACTATGAGGACCAAAGCAGATGCTAACATTTAGCATGTGTTGCTGCACTAACGCGTGCACATAACATACGTTCACAAGAGTTTGTTATGCTGCTCACTATCATGGTGAAGGTTTTTGTCAAAGCTTTTTTGTTTCATGGCATTTCTGGCCTTTGTACAAAATCTTTTTGTGGACATTACCAAAGTCCTGAAGCTAATCTTTATTTCAGTTATGTTCCAACTGTCACAACTACAGTCCTCCCTTATTCATTTACTTGCAGGCTTTGAAAGAACTGTCCAAATAACTGCTTGAATGTGTTACCAAGACAGCGTATGTGACGCGAGGCTTGCTTTTTGAACGACTGTCACCATTACAGAGTGAAATTTGAAAAACTGAGAATACTGATAAATGCAAATTTAAGACTAAATAACAGCTGTGAGCCAGTTATATTAATGTTGTTGAAGCTGCGCTAAAAAGTAGAGTGAAGACTGTACTAGAGCAGCGGTCCCCAACCCCCGGGCCTCGAACCGGTACCGGTCCGTGAGTCGTTTGGTACCGGGCCGCGAGAGATGAGGCTCAGGTGTGAAATATGTGGTTTTCAGGGTTTTTATCGGTTTTCAGCGTTATTTTGTTATCGTTTTTATCGTTAACTCGGTTTTCCTGGGTCTTTTCACCTGTGTTATGAATAAATCTTCTTTTTTTCGGTACCGGTACTAGTTTTATTTTGTTGTATTTATCCGCGACACCTTAAAGGCCGGTCTGTGAAAATATTGTCGGGCATAAACCGGTCCGTGGCGCAAAAAAGGTTGGGGACCGCTATACTAGAGGACCTATTCTAGGCCCCTTTCAGCTTCAGATTAATGCACATTGAGGTGGTTCTCCATCTAACATTTGCAACAGCAGGATGGTGTATGTGAGCATGAATCCAAATAACCGACAGTATTTGGAAGCTGTGGCGGCGAGGAGGTCACTCATACTATAAATCTTGCACCCCTTACAGGACTATGCGGTGACACATCTGCCAGATAATAATAATAATGATAATAATGATAATAATAATAATAATAATAATTAGAAAACCAAGGGTGCTCTGTGGCCCAGATGAACATGGTGTATTAGATTTGGGTCACAATAATAATATTCATTTGAAATGAGTTCAGCGTTGGCTTTGGGTTTGAGAAAACTTGTAGCCTACGGCTTTGTTTGCGCAACATTATTAAAGAAATGAGACAGCTGTAACAGTCTGGAACAACCTGTTTTACAAATAGGATCAAAGAAAAACTAATGAAGATAATATGCATACATTATAAATAGATGCATCACACCACTATTATTTTACAGTGTGGGAGCTGCTTTGATGGCAGCACAGAAACTCATTAATATCTCTTGTGGCAGAAAGAAGTCTCTAAAATTGTATAACATATATTGACTCACTAAATCATCTTTTGCTGAAATGAGAACATTACTCATCCCTGACAAAGTCATCGGTGCAGAATAGCTCATTTTGTTTGTCTGACGTTAAGTTGTTCTGATAAATGCATTGTGGTTTTCCTGTGGGTTTTATAAACCGCCACTACATGAACACAACAATCTAAACTGAAAATAAATTTGGGCAAAATGTGGGAGTAATGGCTTTCGTTCTCCAGAGAGGCAGAAACTTTTGGCTAACAAGAAAAATCAAGCTGAGCTCAGAGATTTAGAGCAACAGATAGCGTTCTAATAATTATCCAGCTTTCAGCTGTTCTATCTTCTTAGTCAAGTTAAGGGGTGAAGAGCCATCAAATGAGCGGATAAGCAGTCTCTTAAAGGTTCAAATCATATAAAGATCTGATCGTTAGCCTGCAACATTTTATCTGTTGATACACTAAAAAGATTTCAATAATATGTGGGCAGAGCTTTAAAACACTCACCATTTGATGCTGTGAAATCAATTGCCACTGTGAAATTAATCTGAGTCCTACAAGAAATAAAAGAACAGAATAAATAAGTCACATGAGGAGAAACAGAGCCATCAATCGAGCCAGATTATATGATAGCATGTTTCAAAGCACGCAGCATGAGCAATTAAGCAGCAGGTTATCGGCAGCTGTCTGTCTTCATTTGGAAGGGGGAGATAAAAGGCAGCGGCAGTCCTCTCTGCTGCGTCTACACTGCTAACTCCAGGCCATTCAGAATTTAATGATGACATTAATGTTGCTGCCTAATTGAGTACTGTATGCTATCAATTATTGTGACCTTACCCGCCTCTGATGTAGTCCAGGAAAGACAGCTCAGTGTCCACCAGGCAGGACAGCAGAGTGACCTGCAGGCAGACATGTGCGCCAATTAGACAGGAAGTACTTGTGCAGTGTGAATCTGTCACTGTAGCACCTGATTCTCTGCTGAGACATTTTTACACCACTGATCAAATGTTTCTAACATTTATTTTTTAGGGCTGTGATCTTTTCTGTTTTGCTCCACTGTGGTTTTTATGCTATTTTATAATTCTAATAGTATTTTATTAAGCTAAGACTAAACAAGACTAAACACACCAACACATGCAGAGATGACATAGAGAAAATAAACCAGATTAGGATTTTTTTATCTGCGTGTGTGTGTGTGTGTGTGTGTGTGTGTGTAGGGGGGGGGTCTCTTTTGAACCCAGATGAGCATGTAACATCACCACAAAAATTCTGCACTGGGAGCTTCATGTCAAGCAGCTCCCATAGAAGCAAAGTGCAGGTGGCTCAGAACTTTTTCAGCTCATGGTACAGATGACAAGGTGTGTGTCGAGATGCCAGAATTAAGGTAAAACCATAAAGGAGAATCAAGAAGTGCTGAGAGCGAAAAACCCCACCAAGGCAGCACGTTCTCTAGGCAGTATTTACTTTTAAGGAAACTGTCTTGTATTTTCTATATGTTGATTTTATTTTCTTTGTTCTTGTAGTTCAGTAAAAAATAATGTAATTTTGGTCAACTTGAAACAAAGACAGATGTGAAATGTTAGAGTGAGGTCAGAGGTCAAATATGATATGATATTTTAATGTAAACTATAATGTGATATTTAGAGTCCACATAAACCAGCAGCATTTCCTACATGTTGGTAACAAAAACAAAGTCAGCAGAATTTTAAATGTAGTTTTAAACATAAAAGACATTTTATGAGTTTTACATGTTTGACCTTGAAGAAGAAAGAAAGAAGTCCAAGTAATGTGACATTTAGGATCAGTATATATCATTATATAATTCTCTATATGCCAATGTTTTGTCAAAACAAACAATGGCAGTAAGAAATAGTTTAACCATATATATAGTATCATTATATAGACTTAGACCTTGAAGGAGAGATCAGAGGTCAAATGTGAAATATTTCAAATTGTTATCCAGTACATTCCATATGAGGACAATATACTTGTAAAAATTACAGTTTTTAAGTTATAAGGCTTTTTTAACTAATAAAATATTAAGTTGACCTTGAAAACAGTGGATGTAAGCCGATTCTTAATGGACTGTTAATATGAAGTTTGCACCACTGTAAGGAAAATATGAGAAAACAAACCAAACATTTCTGAACATTGAGGGGGATATTTGAGAAAATAACCTGAGATAAAATCCTCTATACATCTCACCAATAAAAAAAAATCCATTTTTGATAAGGCACTTTAATCCTTAAGTTTAGCGATGATAACAGTAAACATCAGATGCTTCACGCACATAAAAATGAGGATGGCACTGTTATGATATTGCAGAAGAAAGGTTTTAGGGAACATTGGAAGTACAGAATTTATATGGCATCACTTTGTATCGGTACATGGCATGAAAGTTCAGCCAACATATTAGGACAACTTGAGTAACAATAACAGCATACCGTTCCTGAGTTTTGGTACTTTTTCTTCTTCTTCCCCTTCTTCTTTGGATTTAGCACCTGTGTAGAAATCAGTTTGAATCATCAAAACAGATTATTCCATAAATTAAAACACATGCCTTCTTAAAACTAAACATGTCTGAATCTCCATCAGCACACTGCAGTGGGTGTCACTGATGGAAATAGCTCTGTTTACTCTCCCTCTTCAGATTCATGTATTCCAAATGCCACAGGAGACTGCTTTCAATAGAGGCTTCCAACAGAGTGTACACACTCCCCAAACATTTTTCAGAACATGTTCACACACTTCATTTTGTATTCTATTACTTGTCCTCTGCTCAAGGAACAATTGATTTTCTCTGTTTTGGAGAAAATTAAAAACTGAGCTAAGGATTGATGAAGCTGAAGACAGCACTGGTCTAAATGATTTGATAACCCCCAGTTACATCACACGAGAGTGGAGAGAGCACCCTGCTCTCCCCACATCTATTCTCCAGATTATGCTTCATAGTTTTACTGACTCTTAACTTTCAGTGATTTATGCTTAGCTCGAACACAGCTGATACACCAGTCAGCAAACTGCAACGAGGACAAGAGGGAAGCACAGCCTTTTAGGGAACTTGCTTAACAGCGTGCAGTACACATATTAGTGAGTTCCATCTGGATGGCTGTATATCAGCCTGTTAATCACTGTAATTAAAGAATCCGTGTATAATCCCAGCTATAATGCTCCATTTCAGTCTTTGGAATACAAATGAACACAACAATAAAGTGAGTCTTTTACATTTTAGATTATTATGTGAGCTACAAATAAATAACAAGAGCAATCAAAGACTGTATAGAAAAGACTATTTCTACCATTGTTTTCTTTTTACAATTTGCTCGTTCAAATATGATGTGAAATTAGCAATTTTGTCCTATCAAGCAATGCTGAAGAACTCTTGTTGGATCCAGACTAGAAATTCACTTCTAACTTGCCCTAAACGCCACCTCACGATCAAGCAGAAAGATATCCTTGAACCCTGAAACAAACCTCCTTGGGACAGGCAAAAACTGCTGAAAACTATAGGAAGATAATATACACTCCCACTGGTGAGAAATGACACTTGAAGGTGGCTCTAGAAAATGTTGACTCGGACAAAACTCAAACATAACGTAAAATATGCAACTCAGAACATGTGCACCTGGTATTATAAACTACCGGATCAAGGTGATGCATCGTATACTGACAGTCCACGAGCGTAAGAGCAGTCAGATTCCAACCTCTGATGAATGTGTTTGTCTGGTTTTATTCATCTAGCTTTCTGGCCCCAGGGGGAAGAGAGACAAAACTTATGTTCACATTACACAGAAAAAAAATGACTTTTCCTGACTTTGAGCCTGTGCTCACGCTGCAGTGTGTGGGGAAAAACTACTGTAAATGTTCTTCTGTATGGACGCAATGCTGTGATTAAAGATAGAAGTGAGCCTCATCCGACCCACTTCAGTCCCACAGACCTGCAGTTCTTTACTCTAGTATTCCAGTTTTTCATGATAATGTCAATTATTTTTATTTAATGACTTGATATCATTACTTAGCTGTTTCTTTTTATTTAGTGCTTTGTAGCCTATAAAATTTTATTAGATCGAAGTATTTACTTTATTTGTCATGGCACCACATTTAAAGTATTAAACCTTAATGGCACTGAGGTTGAAAAATACAGCTGTCCTGAGCATGGCATGAACTAAATCATTTGTTTAAACTGTGTGACCACAGTTGGTTTCAACTTGAAAATATAGCATGAAAAATGTGTACTTTAAATCAGTGAAAAGTGAATGAATCCAACAATAATTTTCTAATCTTTTGTAGACTGACCACAACGTAGAAGCTTTCCAGATCACATGTCCTCCTGGTATTGCTCTAATTATTGCGCAGCTTCTGTTGTATACTAACTGTTGTACAGAGATTACGCTATAAATGCTTTGAAGTTGCACAATGTGTCCTATATTCAAGTGAAAAACTACATGCGTTTGAATTATTTCCACTTTTTTCAAAGCATTCTCTTTGTTAAAAATGCCCGATCTCCTGCATGGACTAGTTAAAATGTTTGTGAGGATATTTTTTAATAACAACTTGCCTCGGGTATGTTCAGTTTGAAAATGGGGCACAGCATTTTGCTGTTTCCAGGTTGAATGACATGTTTTATTTAAACATTGTGCAACGGCATGCAACAGTGGGTAACAGTCTCTGAAGCACGTTTTATTCTCGTTCAGTGGGTGTATCAGAGAGTATTACCCTTACAGTGTTGACACGTAAGCTGTGTAAACCCCTCACATTAATAATATGTTAACACCGCTCTATGAGCTCAAATAGCTGTTTGAAGGTTCATGTCTTGGTTAGATATCTGGATCAGGTGACCCTGAATCCTCCCTTAGTTATTCTGCAATAGGTGTAGGCTGCTGGAGGATTCCCATGATGCACTGAGTGTTTCTTCTTCAGACACCTTTCTCACTCACTATGTGTTAATAGACCGCTCTCCACTGAATCATGCTTGTTATTGATCTCTGTCTCTCTTGCACAGCATGTCTTCTATCCTGTCTTCCTTCTCTCACCCCAACCGGTTGCAGCAGATGGCCGCCCCTCCCTGAGCCTGGTTCTGCTGGAGGTTTCTTCCTGTTAAAAGGGAGTTTTTCCTTCCCATTGTTGCCAAAGTGCTTGCTCATTGTTGGGTTTTTCTCTCTATGTATGTATTGTAGGGTCTACCTTACAATATAAAGCGCCTTGAGGCGACTGTTGTGATTTGGCGCTGTATAAATAAAACTGAATTGAATTGAATTAGATATCTTGATGAGAGAATAATAAATAATTAATATTATGAAAGGTGTGGGGAAAAGGAGTTGGATTATCACCTCATAGACGTGGAACTGTGACTGGCTTCTGGACATTTCCCTGTAGCTTGTACTGAACTCTCCGATGAAATCGTGGCTGTAAGAACACACACAGAGTCACATTAGGCCATTGCTAAAAACAGGAAACACTGTAGTAAAGCTGTGTCAGGAAAAGTAAAAATAATAATAATGACAAGAGGAATGGTCCAAATGCCTGCTAGAGAATAACAGATTGGATCAATTTGTTTGTAGTGTGCATAATATTTGAAGTCTTCTTCAAGGAGCAGGACTATCACTGAGAAGCTCATTGGTTACTGTAGGCGTGGGTGTAGAAACCATTTATGTAATTTCACAGAGATAATCAGCAGAGTTGGAATTCAGGGTCAGATATTAATAGGAGCTCAGGGCAAAACGCCCTTGAAATGTCACAAACTGTGTATGAAATGAACAATGAAGGGGCAAACTGTGCCCCTGAGTACTGGGAATTCACTTGCTTCAAAAGATAAACACGATCTTTATTCCCTGCCTGACACCATGAAGGTAACCATTGAGAGACAGTTCAGAAAATATTAATAATTAATGTGTTGTATATTTGAAGTAGAAGGGAGTGTTGTCACGTGCAGGGCTCTGCTGAGATATTTTTCCGCAGTGTCTACTCTTTAACAGTGAAAAACAAGAGTGTGTATAAGGACATCCACTTTGGAGAGTGGTCTGTTAGCAAAATCCCAAAAGCACTTCCCTACTTTGCACATATGCTCTGATGTTATCAGGGCAGCTTTTTTGGATTTTAAGAACACACAATAACAGTCTCGCTGGTATCTCTCTTTTTAGAATGTAGTTTTAATACATTAAATAATGATACTGCATAAATTCATGGACCATTGCACCACACACTGTAGCTTTAACATGCAGGAAAGCATTGCTCTCTCACCCTCCATCTCTGTCCCAGTCGTACACCTCCACCTTAATGCTCCTGTGCAGAGAAACAAGTGGATTGAGTGAAATCCCATTAAGAAAAATCAATCAGCACCACAGATTTACTATTTTTCTGTTTATAGAGCTGGCCACTGGTCTGTGGAATGCACATGTCCTCAGCAAAGAGAGGAAGTTCTAGACAAACTAAAGAAGTTTCTACATCTCCTTTCTAAGACTACGGTCTGGTAAGCTTTAATGTTTAAATGTATCCAGGTTTAGGTTCCAAATCTTTAATCTGTAGCTGTCACCTTAGAAATAGACACCTGTACAAAGAGTGCACTCTGCAACAAAATAAAATTAAAATGTTAATTACAGCTCTGTGTTCTAACGATTTCTGAAGCATTTAACTGTAACAGTATTGCATTCTACTGTTATATTTTTATGCATGCTCTTTTATGGCACGGCAACTCTTTCATGGCATGCATTTTTAATTTCTCTTTGCTATTTGGGCTGATTGGGACCTGATGAATGTAAAAACAAAGAATTACCTGATTTATTTATTTTTTAACCTGATTTTTGTTTCTCAAATTCATTTTAAATTTTGATAGAACAGTGGGAGTATAATGTCCTCGTACGAGGATATCAGGCACTTGTAGAGCAAAATTTTGTATTTTGGTCTAGACAACCCAAAATGTGATGTCTACATATGTGGATGCCAGGTCCTAGGAGGTTAAAAATAAATTATCCATGCAAAAACAAAGTTTGACACTCATATCTGTTGACTGTAGTCCTTTAAAACAATTGAAAGAATGGTTTATAGCTGTATCAGTCAGGACTTTCTGAAGATCCAAGTTGTCTAATTTTATTTCCGATTGGATCTTCATGTTAATGCTAACATGTCAGAACCTGGTCATTTCTGTAACTCTTCTATAGCATTTTCTTTAGTTTAACTCCTGGCCTGTCGCACTACCTGAGTTACACTGTACTAAAATTGTAAAAACCTGGGTAACTACAGTAAACTGTCATTAGCATGCATCATTTTTCTGCAAGCTAACAGTAAGGAAGCGCTTTACTTACTTACTACTTATTACTAAATAATTTTTAAAAGGATCTCAAAGGTATGGAAGCCCGTTTCTGCCACTAAATTTTAAAAAAAAGTATCCATAACTTGATATGTTGAGTTATCTTTCTCAAAATTTTGAGTTATTTTCTGGAAATTTTGAGCTAATAACATATTAACTCAAAATGTCAAAAAAATTGACTCAAAATTTTGAGTTAATAGCTCAAAATTTCGAGTTAGGGCTGCCAATCGGTAATCTACGTGATTGATGTCATTTCCTTGTTACCCGGAAGCTGAAGCCCTCAGCTACAAATGCTACAGCTAAGTTACCGGTATTACAGCCAGTCATGAACGCACAAATTGCTAATTATTTTCATCGTGGCTTCACAAATGATGGAATCTTTGTGTTATTAGCTGAATCACATGGCCTTGCTATCTACAAACGTACTCTCGAAAGCGCCAGTTTGTTGCGATCCAGTTTTGAGTGCGCATTCCACATAGATTACTGATTGGCAGCGCTAACTCGAAATTTTGAGTTACTTTTCTCAAAATTTTGAGTTAATAAATCAAAATTTCGAGTTATTAAGTCAAAATTGCGAGAAAGATAACTTGAAATTTTGAGATATGGATACTTTTTAAAAATTTAGTAGCAGAAACGGGCTTCCATACAAAGGAGCTCCTAAACATCGCCCAAACATCTAGTTTACCTAAGTCTTGTAAGTCTGTGCCTATTTAGTATTCAAAGGACGATAAAGAGCTAAAAACTTTAACTTTCAGACCAAAACAGAATTAGACACACAAAAAGGAATATTAGCATATACATGAGTTATCAGCCAAATTATTATTTTAAACAAAGTTATTAACCCAGAATTTCTCCATCTGTGCCGCAATAAGAACACAAACAAATCCAAACATGTCTTGGCTTGACTCTGCTTAAAAATATGCTCACCTATATTCCTGTTCCTGTTGTGTATATTAATATTATCTCCATTTAACTGTAAACATTCATGCATCCCCTTGTGTGTCCTACTATACCTGTCATAGTCACCATTACACAGCGCCCTGACGGGAATTTTAAAAGCCTGCCACACTGGATCCAGAGTATTCTTCACCACCTCTGTTTTGTGGCAGATGGTGTACCTGCGAGACATACAAAGTTAAAGAAAAAGACAAATCAAAAACAAAGCCCTCAGTGCTTCATCTCCTTATCATTGAGGGAGAGCTTCATTTAAAATGCGTTTCAGGAAGCTTGACCCTTAGCTGAAGAAACAGCTTGCAGTTTCTGTTTTATGAGGGATCAGGACTGGCTCTTTGTAACCACGGCTTGCTGCTGTTAAACCCTGCGGCGGAACATTTAGGCTGCATCAGTAAATACCCAGCTGCACTAAAAGAAAATGTGTTAAGTGTGAGACGCTGAAGTCGACTTGAATAAAAGCATCTTCAGGGCAAAGAAACTGCAACCTCCACACGCAGTTTTCACTTAACTCTGTCTTATCCATCCATCCTCTCTTTATGTTTCTCATGTCAACTCTGTGCTATTATTTCCGCTCACCTCTGCATCTACGGCTTCTGAATGGAAGGCATAAGTCACTCATACAACAGGAAGCATTATGTAACATCACACAGGCGGCTTAGCTCCTACTGTACGTCCTCCGTGTATAAGCTTTTAGAGCATTAACCGTCATGCTCGGAGTCTATATGTACTTCAGAAATTTTTGCATGTGTGTTTTTATGTGTATAATAGCTGAGTATGTAATCGCTGGATATCAATAAGAAGTCACTTGTCAACTTACGATCCGTCCTCGTTGCTGCGGTAAAACACAAGAAACGGATCTGATTTTCCGAAGAAATCCTTCTTATCCAGCTTGTTCCCACAAAACTGTAACATCACTGACTCCTAAAGAGGAAGAAAGGGACCAAAACAAACATGACACACTGCCTCAGAAGTGCTCTAAAGACATAAAATATGACCTGCTATTAATACAAAAAGTATTCATATTGGTCAATAGGATGGTGAAGACTTGTGCATGTGTGTTATATATATTTGTTTTGTGTTATTTTCCTTTTGATCCCATGGCTTTTTGTTTGGTGAATTGATTTAATTAATTGAATTGGTTGATTTTATTACACAGTCAACTGGCATCTCTGTCACTTTTATAATTAATTTATCTTTGTAGCAGTTTGCTGCAAAATGGTTCTTTGGTTTTAAAGCATTGACGCTAACACATGGGTCTGACTGTATGATGTTGTACAAAAAATGTCAGCAAATAAAAGACTTGAGCCCAGAATATCAGAGAACTTCCCTTCGGAAATATCTGCTTTCTATATTAACTGAATGCTTGGGTGGACAGATTCACTACTGGGAGCACAAGATGATGCCTGCAGCACATTCAGGTTGCACATTTGCACTGTTGCAAGAAGGTCTGCTGTATCTCCCAAAACAGCCTCAAGAGTTTGGAAGAGATACTAGGAGATGGGCACAGGGAGCGCTGGACATGGCTGTACCACGCAGCAGGACCAGTGTCTGCTCTTTTGTGGGAGGAGAAACAGGAGAAGCACTGCCAGAGCCCTACAAAACGCCCTCCAGCAGACTACTCATGTGCATGTTTCTGGCTATATTGTCAGAAACAGACTACATGAGCATGGGATCAGGTCCCAGCATCATTTATTGTGCACACAGCTCAGCACCATTCAGGACAGAGCAAAGGTCTGTGGCCACCTGCAAAACCTGCAAAAGCATTCCAGTTTTAGGGGGCATTTCATTTCATTAGCATCAAAAGCAGGTGAATTAACCAACAATGGATTATGTGTCTCACAGAGGGAGAAGCACAGTTTCTCATTTATAGTTATTGTTAAATATATGAATATATTGACGACACAAGTAACTAGCCTTTCTAACTAAGATGGGGGTATTTGACATTAAATTAAATGCTTTTTTTTTATCCTTCCAACTCCATAGTGCAAAGTCATGTGTAAAGCTTACGAATACGTGTATTCTATGTGTGAAAACAATATTAAAATGTTGGACAATTTTAGTTCAATCTGTGTGATTTTTACTTGAAGAAGACAAAATAACCAGAGAATACAGATAAATAAAGCACAGCATCTCCACTTCAAAATGGCCAACAGGTGAACCAAACAGACTCTTACCCTGCAGTTGCTCACTTCTTCTGCTCTCACTATGATGGTGCCACATTTCTTTCCTGGGATTCCACTAGAAAAAAGAAAAACAAAACAGGAAATTGACCGCATTGATTCCAGTGTAAATGCTTTAAATGTAATCTATTTTACACTGTATATGTCTGTTCTATTACTGCATGCATACTATATTTAGTGCTTCACAGTATTATTTGTCATCTTAGTTTTTTTTCTTAGTATATCTATACTACTCATTACATTTTAAACTGCATTTTGTCATTCTAATCTGAAATTGTGAATTCTTGGTTGTTCATCTTCCTGTGGCATTTCTTTTCACCACAGATTGGGGTTTTGGGCAAATATTTATGATAAGAATATTTAAGGTTGATCAGGAGTTTCAGCAAAATGCTGAAAATGAGAGAATTTCAGGAGACGCTGCACCTAATTTCTCCTCTTCATGTTTTCTCTTGCAGTCACTGCCTGATTGCATTTGTAAATATCAATTAATGCTGAATGAAAACCTTCAGAAAAGAACATCAAAGTAATGCAAACCACATCCAGTGACATTTCAGCTGAAATGTTTGTTTGCATCCTGAGCAGGCGAAGCGTAATATTCAGCCAATAAAGCCAAGGGAGGCTGACCACTAAAAATAGACAAAATGAATGCCACAGACCCCGGGCCTGCTCCAGAGTAAGGAAGGGTAGAGATCATTTATTTTGGCTAAGTAATGTCCAGTAATGCCAGAAAGCGCCTTAAACAAATAAGAAAATTGAGAAATTTATGGCTGATCTAAGCAAGTTTTTGACAATTTCTCCATCGCCTGAGATTCACAGGCATCTTTGGATGAACAGGGAAGCTTCAGTGAAATGAAGCCACTGTACATGGAGAGATTGCTCAGTAAGGGGCCAGATGGAAGAAATGGTGAGACAAAGAACAAAAAAGAGATGGACAGAGCCACAGAGAGAAACAGTGGAAGAACACAGTGCGTAAATCATGGAGTACAAAAAAACTGTAGAGGAAGCCTGACACCATCAGTGCGTGACATCACAAGTGTCACTGAAATGGAATTTTAGTCTGTGATCCCCTTCAGTGCTCACAGTCAGTATCTTACACGAGTGTAAATTAGCCTCAATCTTATGTTCTTTACTGATAAAGCTATATGCTATAAAGCAACTACACCTTCACTCCTGAAAAACTGATTCAATCTTGATGAAACTGGCACATAAATTACCCAGGGTATGTAGCATCAATATGGTGATTGACTCAACATTTACTTTGAATAAAAAGTGCAGTTTTTTTTCTGTGTATTTGTATATAGAAGCTGCAAAATCGAGGCTGTTTAGTGAACATGTGCTGTTTTTACAAACTTAAGTACACAAAGATTCAAAATGAGCTAATATTTTTCTTAAAATGGTACATGTTCTGGTTGTCACTAAGCAAATGACCCATATGCTGTGAGGGTATTGCAGAGAGCTGGGTTTGTATCCTCCCCGGGCCATTTTCTCTCCATCTTCCACTTGCTCTCTCTCCCAGCTTTCCTTTTGCACTCTCAAGTCTCCTATCATAATAAAGGCCAAGAATTCCCCAAAAATACTTCTTAAAAATTGTGCATTTTCTCACTTCTGTTCTGTTATTAATAAAATATGGATTTATGAAATTTGCAGTTTACACAGTATTCCATTTTTGGAATTGGCTTTCCAAAACATCTGTGCTGAGCTTTTTCAATGATTACATTTATGTTAGCTTTAATTACCAAGTATCTGGATCTGTGCCATACACCAATACAGTTGCTGGATGTGCCTTGTGTTACGTTCACCTAAAAGGGGTCTAGGCGATGAGGGGGGGAAGTAACAAAATGTGTCCGGGTCAGAAAAAGGAGACAGAGGCAAAATGGATAAATTAAAGAGTTTCATTAAAGTTTCTATTAATATTCAGCTAAAAGAGACGGACAAGCCACTTTCACTATTTAAGGAAAAACAAAACTCAAGCGTTGGTCAATAAAGTAAAACGTAAGTCAAAAAGAGAGAGCCGCTCACTCGCTGTAACCATTCACATGGCACTCTGGCCCAGAGCTCACCTGTCCCTGAGCTTAAATCCCTTTAATTACTGATGTGAGTCAGCTGTGTAAAAGAGAAAGGGTGGCACCTCGGGCAGAAGAGATTGAAGGACACGCCCACACAGGCACCTTCAGGAGGAGGCCCTGCTAGGGCCGTAACACCTTGCTAACAAAGTAAGCTAACTTCAGCCGATAACTTTACATTCTCATCCAAATTTTGTCACTTTTGGCATCCAGAAGTCCAGATGACAACAAATAAAATGCCACATTCAAGGGTTCAAAGAGGTAGTCCAAAAAAAATAGTCCATCATCCATATACAGTCTATGGTTTACAGTTGTTCTTCTATTTTTGTTGTTGTTGCTGCTTTATTTTTATTTGTATGATCCAGAGCCACTCGACTGAGCAGGAGTGAAATGCTTTCAACTTGGGAAGGAGCACAAACAAAGTAACACACCCACACATACACACACACACACAGCTGCCCAGACTTGCAAATATCAATTGCAGAATAATGACGAATATCTAAAAATATCTTCACAAATCCTAAAAAAGTTACAAATAAAACATGTAGGTGTTAGAAAGAAAGCACAAAGACACAAATAAACACACACAATCACAAATCTAAAAGACAGTGAATGACTGCGGGCAGAGATGATTACATAACTTAGTGACAGCAACACATTCTTACATCATATTTCTTGTGTATCATTCTTTAGGAAACCCATTCAGTTCCAACCGCTCGTTGATTCTGACACACACAGACACACACTCACTGACAGAGAGAGACACACACTAATGGATGTAGATGCCAGTATGGCCACTTACTTTCAGCTCACTCAATTTCTCCCTTTCGCTCACTCTAACACACACATATGCACACACAAAAAGGACACCCACTGGAGGACGTGGGGATCAGACCATGGTTGGACAGCTGATGGCTCACTGTCTTTGGTGGAAAATTAAAACAAGACGAACAGGTTCTTTAGTTCTGCTCTGTGGGTTGAAGCTGCAATAATATCAGGATGCAGCTAACAACCAAAAAGAAGTCTGAAGACCTCTTGGAGAATTTACAAGAAAGCTTTCCAAGGAAACTTTGGTCCATGATTTATGAGGAGCCTTCGTGCAGTAAACAAAACTCTCACTTCTGTGTAATTTTAAATTGGGCTGTATTCGTGCAGTCGCCTTGTTTATATTTAAAGTATTATTAATGAAATATTTTTAAAGAACCTTGAACTGTTTTAGATTTTCTAAATACCCATGAAGCATTCAAAACTCATGAGAATATATTAGCAAATGTCTGTACATTTGACTTCCCCATTTAATTTAAGACTTACATCTGGATACAAATCTGGATAGCCGATCAACTCCATCTAAAGGTCTGACAATCCACTGCCATGTTTTTTTAAAGTGTGCCCGTGGGGTTGAAATTGTCGCAGACTAAAACGCATTCTGTGCATCACTGAAGTCAATTTGATTATTGTATTTTGTTCTTCGTGAAAAAAAAAATTAAACTTCTTTCTGGATGTTAGCTGCCTTCTGTTCCATTTATTCTGTTAAGACGATCCTACGTTGATGTCCAAGATCCGGGGAGGCCCAATATGAATGATAGTGTTCCATTATGCACTTTTCTACCCAGGTATGGTTTTTACTGGATTGGCAGAGTGTGATAGTAGATGAGCTCCTCAACAGAGCTGGATAAATTGCAGCCTCAAACCATGACAGAGCCTCCACCGTGTTTTACAAATGGCTATGGATACTCACTGTTGTACCTCTCTCCTGACCTTTGCCCTACATACTGATAAATTATTTGTATTTGAACCAAGAAATTGCTGGACTTGCTCTTCTTGTCACTAAACCCATTGACTGATTGATTGATTGATTGATTGATTGATTGATTGATTGATTGATTGATTGATTGATTGATTGATTGATTGGTAATTTATTTCAACATGTGAACAATATACAAGTACATTTAGAAAAGAAAATAAGAGAGAAAAAAAA